GGGGGGGGGGGGGGGGGGGGAATTTGGGCCCATTTGTTTTCTACACAGAGCAGCGGTTCTCAGAATTCCGAAGGCTGACCCCTTTAACACAGCTCCATGTTCTGCTGACCCCAAGCATAAAGTCTGTGGATATCTGTGTTTTCTGATGATCTTAGATGACCCCTGTGAAAGGGTCATCTGATCCCCAAAGGGGTTGCTACCCACAGGTTGATAACCACTGTTCAATGTGCTCCCGATGAAATGAGACACGCCCATTGCAACTGCGCCTGCTTCACCTTGGTCAGGGTGTATGTCCCCAATAGGTTCAGCTCCAGCAGCTGGCGAAAGTCCTGGGCAGAAGTCTCCTCAGGCCACTGCGCAGGTGGGTCTAAAGGGAAGAGAAGAGAGAGGGAGACAGGAGAGGGGAGAGGATCGGAGAGGCAGAGAGCTAGGGAGCAAGGCAAAGAAGGAGGCTGTGCCGCACTGTGCACCATGGCAGTCTCTGCTGGCCCAGACCTGCCACTGCAGGGCTAAATCACTGGGCCACGCCCCAGCTGGTATCTGCTCTCCCCACTGTGGAATGTGGGTTTCCCTGCACTCCCCACAACGGAATTTGGTTGTGTAGCCAGACTGAATAAGCGTGAGCCTAAGAAAAGAAGGACACAGAATGTTGTTCCTTTTGGAAACTACAGCTCCCAGATTCCTCCTGGATTACGGACACCTGCGCGCACGGCCCTTATCGTGCCCCCCCCCATTAAAGCGCACCCACGTGGGAGCCGCGTGTCTGTGTCTTCTCCTTTTGTGCGTGTTTTGTCTGTCATGTGTTTGTCTCCACACACAACCTGCTTTAAAAGAATAATACAGATAACAAGGACTCTCTGCAACTCTGAATGCTAGGGGAGCCCCGGGACTCTGGAGGGCCTGCGTGCTCTCTGAGCCTTAGTTTCCATGGAAACACATTGTTAGGTTAATGGAAACCTTCCAGACTGCCACACCACGTGGAGTCTGATAAAGTGTGTCTGGGTGTCCTTGTCACCAGCCAGGGCCTGGGGTGTCCTTGTCACCAACCAGGGCCTGGGCCTTCAGCAAAGCAGGAAACACACAGGCCCTTGGAATAACCTAAGGGGCAGTGTGACCTCGCTTGGAGACCACAGCACCCCCAGTGAAAAAGGTGATGATTGATTGATTGATTATGTATACAATATTCTGTCTGTGTGTACGCCTGCAGGCCAGAAGAGGACACCAGACTCCATTACAGATGGTTGTGAGTCTCCATGTGGTTGCTGGGAATTGAACTCAGGACCTTTGGAAGAGCAGGCAATGCTCTTAACCTCTGAGCCATCTCTCCAGCCCCGATGATTCTTATTTCATTTATTTATTTTATTATTATTATTATTATTTGGTTTTTCGAGACAGGGTTTCTCTGTGGTTTTGGAGCCTGTCCTGGGACTAGCTCTGTAGACCAGGCTGGCCTCGAACTCACAGAGATCCGCCTGCCTCTGCCTCCCAAGTGCTGGGATTAAAGACGTGCGCCACCACCGCCCAGCTTCTTATTTCAAAGACGGAAACTGAGGCATGGAGATGACACAGGCACACGCACACACATGTAACACCTTTTAAGGGGAAGGATGGGACAATAGGATAGAAGCAGACATTGGGGGACAGTAGCCCCTAAGCCACACAACTTACGGTAGCCGGCATTGTTCACCACACAATCTAGGTGGCCAAACCGAGAGAGGGTCTCGGAAATCAAAGTCTGAGGAGAGAACAGACTGCAGTGAGTCAGGACAGGCTCAGTTGGGGTAGCAGGGCAGAGTGAGGTGGAGGGGAGAAGGGTCACAGGAGGTCAAGAAAGGAGAGAAGACAGGAAGCTTGAGACGCTTGAGTGAGCACCTCAGCTGCCAGGGCATGGCCAGGGTTTCGACTGCTGTGACAAAGCAGCTGGGGAGGACAGGGTCACACTCCATCACTGAGGGGAGTGGGGGGAGGGTCACACTCCATCACTGAGGGGAGTGGGGGGGTCAAACTCCATCACCGAAGGGAGTGGGGCGAAGGGTCACACTCCATCACTGAGGGGAGTGGGGGGAGGGTCACACTCCATCACTGAGAGGAGTCCGGGTAGGGGCTCAGAGCAGAAGCCTGTAGGTCGGAGCTGAAGCAGAGCCCATGGAAGAACCCTGCTCCCTAGGGTTTGTTCAGCCCCCTGATCCAGGACCTCCTGCTTAGTGATAGTGTATACCCCGGGGAGCTGGACCCTCCCACAACAACTACTAATAAGAAAATGCCCCCAGCAGGGCGGTTGTGGCACTCAGGAGGCAGACGCTGCTGGTGAATCCCTGTGAGTTCAAGGCCAGCCTGGTCACAAGAGCTAGTTCAGGACAGCCAGGACAGTTACACAGGGAAACCCCGTATCGAGAAAAAAAAAAAAAAAAAAGAAAAGAAAGAAAATGCCCCACAGGCTCGCCCACAAGCCGACTTCACTATTGATGCTCCCTCTTCCCACCTGACTCAAGTGGAGGACAGAGCCCAGCGCGCCCCTGTAGAAGACGGCGAAAGCGGGAGACTGAGTCTCCGGAGGAAGGGTCTCCTGTGCACCTGTGCGCACTGAGCTGGCAAAGAGGCGAGGAGAGGGGTGGGGTTACTAGAGACGGGGGTGGGGGTAGGGATAGGCAATGCTCACCTGCAAATCTCCTTCCTGAGTCACATCACAACGGACGAAGACAGTGCCCGAGAGTTCCTGCTCCAGAGCCCGGCCCCCCGCCTCTGTAAGAGAAAGACTCTGGGTCTGAGGGAGAAGAGTTGAGACTGAGGGCAGAGGACATGGGTCCAGGCATGGGGGCTGAGGGAGGAGTGCTAGGCTTGGATCCGTGAGTCGATGGAGGGAAGGCAGGGCTGAGGACTGATCACTCACCGTCCTTGTCACAGAAAACCACTTGAGCTCCACTGTCCACTGCCAACAAAGAGAGGGAGAAAAGTTACGGGTCCTGCCAACTTGGGGCGCTGCCTCTGCTGCCCCCTTGTGGCCACCCGGAGCACCGCTCTCCAGAGGCTCTCGTTTCTGTTCTCGCAAAGGGTAGAATCTTGAGACAAATTCCCTCCATCCTGGATTCTAGAAAAATCCCAAACCTACGAGGAATATATTCCTCAAAGCTATCGTCTGTAGGGATCCATCAGGGGAAAGCCTAACCCTAACCCCTAATCCTAACCCAGGACTCTTCGGGTTTTCGAGACGGTTTCTTTTTCTTTTCTTTTTTTCTTTTTTGAGACAGGGTTTCTCTGTGGTTTTGGAGCCTGTCCTGGAACTAGCTCTTGTAGACCAGGCTGGTCTCAAACTCACAGAGATCCGCCTGCCTCTGCCTCCCGAGTGCTGGGATTAAAGGCGTGCGCCACCACCGCCCGGCTCGAGACGGTTTCTCTGTGTAGCCCCGGCTTAGTAGAACTTGAAGTGTAGACCACACTGGCCTTGAACTCTGCCTGCCTAGTGCTGGGATCAAAGGCGTGTGCCACTACCTCCCAGCCAAGGGAAGAACTCTTCTCAGCACCGGCTGAAGCCTTCGTCACGCAGCTCACCCAACAGTCCAAACTGACTCAGGTAAAACTGAGGGCTGGAGAGATGGCCCAGTGGTTACGCCAAACTCAGCACTGGCTGTGACTGCTCTTCCAGAGGACTTGAGTTCAATTCCCAGCACCCAGGTGGCAGCTCACAACTGTCTGTAATGCCAGTTCCAGGGGACCCAACTCTCTCACACAGACAAAAACAATGCACAGAAAAAAATAAGAATAAACAAATTATTTAAGGATAAATAAATCAGGGGCTGGAGAGATGGCTCAGTGGTTAAGAGCATTGACTGCTCTTCAAGAGGACTTGGGTTCAATTCCCAGCACCCACATGGCAGCTCACAACTGTCTGAAAATGCAGTTCCGCGAGATCTGACACCTTCACACCAATGCACATAAAATAAAGTTAAATAAATCAAAATAAATAAACAAAAAAGACTAAGTAAATCATTTTTAAAGAAAAGGAAATGGAATCTCTTCCATTCTGAGAACCTGTCGTCCCAGCCATCCGTACAACCCAGGCAGGAAGACCCTTACTCACCAAAGGCTCTCACGATCCCAGCCCCGATGCCACGAGCACCCCCAGTTACCACCACCACTTTCCCGGAGTATCGGGGTACAGCTGCCATTCCCAGTTGATTTGGCTCGTCTCCCACGCCCTCACAGCCTCTTTCCACCTCCTCAGTCCGCAGAAGTAGTGGGACCAGATGTACAAGCTGTGTCCTTAAAGGCTGCCCCTGGGAAAGGGTGTTCCCAGGAAGGCCACACGCCTGGGAGAATTGGGCCGCCTCTCCTACCTCAGACGTGGAGATTGGCTCCTAGCCCTTATTTCTCGGACCCAGGAATCCCCACCCTGACAATCCTCCTTCAGACTCAGGGTCCCTCCCCCAGCCCTCCCCCATCAGATTGTCTCCAGACCCCTAACGGCAGGCACCTCTTCCTCAGACCTAGGAAACTGGGCTCCAGCCGCTTCCCTCAGCCCCAACATTTTAATAGCTGGCTCCCAACTTTCTCACCTTGTTAATCGCAAACATGAAAAATAAGACCACTACCACAATTTGGGCAAAATTTGAAGCAAGCTTGATTTTTATTGGGGTGTACCCAAGAGCTGGCCAGCGACTGCCTCCTAAGTTGAGTTAAAGAGAACAGCAGAGGATCCAGCTCTTGGGTTCTTTTTAAGGAGTAGTTTCCCAGAAGAGAGACGATGTGTCAGTGAGGAAAAATAAAATAAATAAAAAATAAAAAATCACCTGCCGTGTAATTAGGGAGGGGCCAGGATTAGGGAGGGCTAAGGAGGGTCAGGGTATTCTCAAAAACAAATCAGTGTCGTGGGTTGGGGAAGGTTCCAGGAGACAAGCAACTCAACTCTCACTAAGAAACTCACACAGCATAAAAGCTTCTGCCTTCAAAATGGAGTCAGGTAGGCTCCTCATCCCCCTCCCCCGGCTTATGTTTCCCTGTCAAATCTTTGACAGGAGGGTGTATTATAATATCGCTCAGCAGCAATGTTTCTAGAACTGTTTATATGACTGGCGATTGTGGGGCCCAGGCCTCACAGCTGCCAGGGCAGGCAGCGCCGGGTTCCAGGAAACGCACTAAGCCTGCACCACACAGGGGTGGCCAGCATCTGAGGGAGTACCTGACATCCAACCCTGGTAAGATGAGGTAAGACCACCAGACGGCCCTGAGCCCAGGACTCACCTATTCCCCTTTCCCTTTGCCAAGATCCCTAGACAAAAGTCAGCCAATCAGGCCAGGCGGTGGTGGCACACACCTTTAATCCCAAACACTCGGAGGCAGAGGCAGGTGGATCTCTGTGAGTTCGAGACCAGCCTGGTCTACAGAGCTAGTTCCAGGACAGGCTCCAAAGCCACAGAGAAACCTTGTCTCGAACCCCCCCCCAAAAAAAGTCAGCCAATCAGGGTCCTGAACCCTGGAAATGCCCCCCCCCACCTCTACTATGATAAAATCCCTACCCCGACTGGGCTGGGCACTCTCTGCTCTCAACCGCTGTGTCAGACAGACAGAGTCCAAGCTGAACAAAGGCTCTTGGCTTTTACACACAGGACTCGGTCTCTTAGTCGGCTTGCGGGGGCTCTGTGACTTGGGCATAAGTGATGGTTGGTCATGCATTGGAGTCACACACATGGGTTAGTCACTGATTATGATAACTGGTAGAAACCACATTAGAGAGCCATTGGAGCCATGTTGGCCGGTCTAAATTTGTTTGAGAGATCTTGTCTATTTCTTTACGCAGATCACCAATTAGTTGTCAATAGTGTGGGAGAAATCAGAGATGACAGCACACTCCAGTAAACTGTTGACGACCAAGATAGTTTAAGTTGGAGAACAGGGGCTCTCAGTTCTTCTACTTCTTGATTAGTTCCTGATAATGTTTCTGCTGTAGCTTCTGAAATGAGACAGGCTATTTAGAGCCTCCCTCTGGAGTCCCCACAAGTCCTGGGACAGGTGACAGAAAGGCAGCGCCAGTGGGATCCAACAGCTGCAGGGAATCTTCGCAGTTCTCAGGAGGAGCTCCTGCAGTCCCCGTACAGATTACAAAGGTTTGCCAGGCGGTGGTGGCGCATGCCTTTTTTTTTTTTTTTTAATATTTATTTATTTAGTATACAATAGTCTGTATGCTTGCGGGCCAGAAGAGGGCGCCAGACCTCATTACAGATGGTTGTGAGCCACCATGTGGTTGCTGGGAATTGAACTCAGGACCTTTGGAAGAGCAGGCATCTCTCCAGCCCCTGGCACACGCCTTTAATCCCAGCACTCTGGAGGCAGAGGAGGCGGATCTCTGAGTTCGAGGCCAGCCTGGTCTATAAAGTGAGTTCCAGGACAGGCTCCAAAGCCACAGAGAAACCCTGTCTCGAAAAACCTAAATAAATAAATAAACAAATAAATAAATAAATGACTGCCACGTGATTTCACCGCCAACTTAATTAAAGGTGACCACGTGGAGTGGGCCTAACATATCTCCAAGATAGTTTGGGTTGGGATAGATTTGTGCATAGTGACTCATGTCCCGTTCTAAAAACAAGGTTTTATATATATATATGATTTTAAGTATTAAAGCTGCACCTCAATGTTTTATGCCGTTCTGCCAGCTAGACTTTGTTAATTAAGAGTCACCCAGGTGATAATGGTTATAAAGACATAAAGGGATCACAGGAAACAGCTGAGATTTACAAATGTATGGCAGGACTAGAGCCCCAAAGAATGTGCAGTTGCAACAATGGACTTTAACAGTTTTAGAAATGCCAGTGCCAGGGGATCATCACCAGAAGCACCAACTACAGTGAAATGGAGCAGGCTGAGATCTAAAAGACAGGCTGTTTATATGCTGTCGAGGGTGGGACCAGAGAAGTACTTTATTTTTAATATTGCAGGAAGACATTTAAGAGATTTTAAGTTTCTAAATAAATTTATAAGGCTGTGAGACATCTGTGCTATAAGATGTTTTATATTATTAGGGTTTATGCTATTTGGATAAACTGAGTCATAAATTTTTGTATTAATACTAAAAGGTTTGGACCTCCTTTTCTAGGGAAAGAACGTGTTTCTGTTGGACCAGATGTCCAAACATCAGGGAAGAGTTGCTCCAGACACCATTCACATAACCACAAATTGATGCAAAAGCAAGAGGATTTTTATTCTGTCATGACAGGGTCCTTCAGGTTCGGGATATGAAGGACCACGATAGCTGTTACAGTCCATCTTTTAAAGCAAAAAGCCACAGATACAAGGGGGTGACCTGTAGGTTGTTTTTCCAACTTATTGGATTGGCTTATTCAAAGGGTTACTAGCAATGATTGGTCTATTCCAGGGCAGGAGAATAGTTACGTGGTCAGGTGATAAGGGAGAGCATCTGTGGTCCATCCTGACCTTTGGTTCAGTGACTAAATCAACACATCAGGAACTGAGTCAACATCTGTGGGTTGTATTTGCCTCAATTCCAAAAATGGAGTTACGTTTGAAGATTATTCACAAGAACACAGGGGGATGAGCAGTCCAGTATATGTGTTGGGGGGGGGGGCGACTGTCCCTTTTCCAAGATAGAGTGAGTGTAAGGTTTTAGAAAAATGTCTTAGGGTTGAGGGAGCTTAAAAATGCATTTAGAGTCTTTCATTTCTACCTTAGTTAATCACTCTGGGGTAATAAGAGATCCAATGGCCTTGTTAATGATAGAGAACAGAACACTCACACAGAAGCTGGATGAAAAGGTGCTCAACTGGTCTCCATGGTTAGCAACCTTACTTCCAGCTCTAACAGGCCACTAATGATCTTGCTTCTTCTTCTTCTGCTTCTGCTTCTGCTTCTGCTTCTGCTTCTTCTTCCTCTTCCTCTTCCTCTTCCTCTTCCTCTTCCTCTTCCTCTTCCTCTTCTTCTTCTTCTTCTTCTTCTTCTTCTTTGTGTGTGGGGGTGTTTCGAGACAAGGTTTCTCTGTGGCTTTGAAGCCTGTCCTGGAACTAGCTCTTGTAGACCAGGCTGGTCTCGAACTCACAGAGATCCGCCTGCCTCTGCCTCCCGAGTGCTAGGATTAAAGGCATGCGCCACCACCGCCCAGCATCTTGCTTCTTCTTATCAACAGATTTGAGCCCCTGAACAGACAGGACCCTGACTGAGTCCTGTCATCTGTACTTGTGAAGGGGGAAAGAGGGCAGCTTTCTCAGGGCAACTTAGTACACACCTGCCAAGGTAGGTTCTATACACCAGCAGGAAGGTAGGCCTTATTCTCAGTTTGCCCTAGGGCAATGCTAGCTCTTAGACTTCCTCCTGATCCCATTTCACCTGGGAACCTGTTCCTTGCCTTCCAGGAGGCAGCATTAACAGCTGGATAGAACTTGTTCTGTGTTTACCCTCAGAATGACTCATTCAGTTTCTTTACTAGCTTCAGTTCAGAATCATTACAGAGTGTGGAGTTCTAGTCTTGTGAAAGCTGCTGACTTATTATAGACTGTGAGGAAATACAAGTTAGTCAGTCATCCTTAAACTACTGATATTATTAGTTACAGAAATAAGTCGTATTTAGTTTAGTTCCTTGTATATGTTTTCAAAGTCAAACTTAAAACAAATAATAAAAAACAAATTTTGTCTAATCACACATACCTAGGCAGCCCTCAAACTTCAGAGATCTGCAGGATATGGCATTTAAAATAATGATTAAAAAGCTTATTATATCAGACAGAGACTCAGAGATCCTAGCAGTGACCCAAGGTCTCCAGAGAAGTTATGGACACCATGATGTCTCCACCTGGATTATGATGACGCTGACCACTGGGTGAGATGCCCCAGTGCAACACCTGTTGCCAAGACCGGGTCCAGACTATGGGCAAACAGCAGGACCTTGGAGAATTGATTGCACCACTTTTGCCTAGACAAAATAAGGTCAGACTTTTCCATGTCCCTCTTCCACAGGAAAAAGAAAAATTCACCTTATGGACCTGGCTTAGGCAGTGAGACTGCTGTTCTGGATATTTCTGCTTCTAATGCCATAGAGACCTGGGCATGACTAACTGTGTATGGGCGCTGGTCCCTGTCAATTATAATAGATTCGGAAACAATTTGGTCTGCACTCAGATACACTTTATTTATCCTTCTGAGATCCCTGATAGTATTGATG